CAATATATACTGGTAAAAAATCCTGGGCGAGTAAAAAGAAAGAGGAAAAACTAAGAACTCCATATGAAAATCAAATTAAAAGTAAAGAGGATAAGAACACATTAAGAGTAAATAAATTAAGTTCAGTAATTTAAATGGTCTGACAAACAATATATCACATAGTGTGCAGTAGCCTGTGTATTTTAGAAATGGCATCCATTTAGAATAACTCTAACTGCTCTCACTCCTATTTAAGGGGTAGGACAAGCAATTAAAACATAAATGGCAACTATTTGGTATGCAAATCCCTCAGTTTTGTTAAGTAATGTGAAGAACTGTGAACAAAAAAGGATATTCCCAGAGACCCATATCTACTACTTCATAAATTATATGCAATAGCACACATTAGATATAATTTCTTCAGTTTATAAATCACGTAGACCTCTGCTGACATATTTAACTAGTTCAATACCAGAAAAAAATAATACATAATGGGTCCTAAATGTAAAAACATTTAAGACTGACAAAGCATGAGAAATAAATAAAACAGCCTAATTTCCAGTTTAAAACCTGATAATTTTATTACAAAAGTATTTTAAAAAATTCACAATTCACAAGTTCTGCATTACACAGAATTTCAGGTATTCCCTGAAAGCTTTGCCAATGTTCTAACTGTAAAAAGATCTGTGGATGACCATTGATCCAGATTCCCTAAGGTCATTCATCTATTGACAGTATCACCTCTTTTAAAGGAGCATGATAAGAAGGTTCTCCCCATTTATGAGACAGTAATTTGACTCTCAAATGGATAAACAAGGCTGGTTTTACATTGAGTTTAGTGGAGAGGAATTTTCCCTTTGATTGATACTGTCTGGTAGAGCATGAACAGCAGCTTTGGGTTAACATTCTGGGTTTCTGAGCTAACAGTTATGTCATTGTGGAAAACCGTAAAATAAAACTAAGAAAATTCAGACACATACAGGACTTACCTTGGTACTGCATCCACAGAGGATGAAGCTGGAACCTTGGGCACCTGACAGTTTGCTGCTGCAGCCAGCTTTAAGGCAGATGATGGAACAGCACTTAAAGTCCTAGGTATATGCCGCGCATTGAGTGTTGAAATAGAGTTTACAGTGGCAACCGATGAGGGTACAGTTAATCGAATGTTGTTCCCAATCAGGACCTGAGTTGTTGCAGAGTTGGCAGCAGTTCCTTGGTGACTCAGTGCACTGTGGGAACTCGAAGTCTGTGTTATATTTGAAGGTGGTAACAAGGTTGAACCTGCTGCTGACGATGAACTTGTATGTACAAGTGCTGTAGGTGTAGTACTACTGAGGTGTAAGCCCTTGTATACTCCTGCAGAAGAATGATATTTAAGAAAAAAAAAAAAATCAGACTCCAAACAGGGGTTTCACATACCAACTATGAAAGCAAAATACAATCAGAATTAATTTAGATTTGTATAGGTCTATACCTGAGGCCTGAAGGATGCCATTCACCCCAATTCCAAGCACCACATCATCCTTCATTTTGAATCCCATCAATTGTTCTGATGTTACCAAAGCTGAAGCAGCAAACTGAGCACTAACAGAATCCAATGTCTTGGAAACAAAACCCTAAGAAGAAAGGTGGCAAATAAATGTGATCAAGTTTCAAAAGGTCAGTACTCTTCCTATTTTTATGCATCAACTAGTAATGAACAAACCAGTGCAGATAAGAAAGAACTGATCCTCACTGTTCCCTCAAACCAAACTTCTGATGTTTGGTAAAGTTAGATAAATAATTAAATGCAGTATTTCCCATGTACTTATAATTCCAGTACTAAAACATGCACAAGTATTTCAAACGCACATCACACTGTCCTTCCATACCATTTCTCACAAGATTTCCAAACCAATCTGAAAGATTCAAGGAGGTTCAGATGTCCAACAGCAACTTCTGAACTTTGTGTTTGTGCATTGACACTTTAAATGTTACATATTTAGCTGTTAGATATGTTTTCACAGCTAAAGACAGGACATGCTTATACATGGTTATTAGCTTATACATGGTTATTATAAAGGTAAAAATCTGGCCTCAGAACACAGTCATACATACAGTCTCAACAGGACAACAACATGGCTGGAATTCTTTGCAATATGTATTCCTGAGTCTTTGAGTATTTCATTTAATTGATTCACTCATCTTTTTGGTTTTTGTTAAGAGGGAGCAGAGGCAATGCCTGCCACACTCACCTGCAGTGTCCCTTCTAAACACTTTACAGAATGGCTATGATGTAGATTCAGGCGAAAGCCACTTTCCTGTTCGTTAGTTTCAAGGTTCTATGGCAACAGTTGACAATTAGAGATGAACCCTGGTGGGAAACAATGAGGGATAAATCATAGCACAGACAAATCCCTCACCTGTGAAGTGTTGGCAGAGGAATTACTATTTGCTTGCTGTTGATGAATTTGTGCAAACTGCTGTTGCTGCATTAGTGCCAGTTGCTGTTGATGTTGCTGGTATTGTTCGGCTGTAAATGCTGAACAAAATATAAAACGAGAAAATACTATATCAAAATATGTATATGTTGTATATATACACATCTTTTAGAATCCTAAAACAAAAAACTGTTTCAACATACCACAGCAAATTCCTAAGAACCTCGTTGCATCTTTATAGCAACAGACTATGATCCTTCTAGCGGTTTTGTCCAAACTATGTTTTTCCCATTGAACACATTTGTGGTGAAGTATTAAACACCTTCTGCACTTAGCTTACAATATCTGAGTGAAGAAATCTCATTTAACTGAATTTAAGGGAGTAAGCCCAGATTGGCACAAACCACCACTCAGATAAGACTGATCTGCAAAGATTGTGTTTTAGTGTAGTACATTAAAGACCAACTTTCATATGTGCAGATTTGGGGCATTATCTTGTGGGATGCTGAACATTCTGAACCTCCACAGACTCCAGTGGGAGTTAAGGTGCTCACCACCACACAGGTGAAGGCCCTCCTAAATTTAATATTTAGTTGAAAATACAAAAATGAATTTGATGTTTACTAATGAAGACTGTTTTACCGCATTATGATCTCTCAACACAAACTTCACTGTTCCCACCACCCTCTGTTTTGTATAGACTAAAATACCTTTTATATTCGTATTTAAAAAAAATAAAAATAAAATAATCATGCACACTGTCAACTCTGTCAATGGAGAATTTCATAGAAGCTATTTTCTTCCATAAAGGAGCTCTTAAAGAGTGATACATTAGCCATAATGTGTAAACGTCAATCACAATTTTCCCCAGTTAACCCACCTGGAAAAAAAATCCAGTCAATAAGAATGGAGCTGTTTATGTTGATTTACAGAAGGATGTCTGAGGAAAGACACTGTATTATACTAATTTGTCTATGGAGAGATCAGTTCTAAAAAACAAAAAATAAAATTCATTTTGAATCCCCCATATGGTTTGTATAGTTTTAATGAAGAAAATCTCTATTGCCAATTTAAAAGTGGGATGATGGTGCAGATTGAATCCATTACAGAGTCAGCCTAGACCACACCTTGTGAGTTTTCCCAAATTAAATTTCAGGCCCCCAAATTTCTGTGGATATTCTCAAAACAAATATTGTGAACATTCTTATGCAACAACTTCCAATGCCTTCCAGAGTTACGACTGTTACCAAATGGAAGGTATCCAGCTTTCTACAAGTCAACACAAGACTTAAATGCTTGTTCATGAAATACAGTATCTTGGCCAAAGCTTTTATCCTTTATTCCCAACCGCAGAAAATCTGTACTCCTATCAGACTACATACATCTAATGTTTCGGGGGGAGGGGGGAAGAGAGAGAGAGAAAAAGACTTAAATGTTGTTAATCTTTGCTGAACTCTAGAGGATAGAATAGTTAATCAAATGGCTTGTGATGATTTGAATACAGAAAATGAACAAGTTAATCCATAAGAAGTGTCTAAAGATCATACGTCTTCAGCCCTAAAGATCATACATCTTCAGCCCACATTCAACTATGAATTTCTTGGAAATATTTGCATCATTCACAGCTACAAAATTAAGATCTTGTACATGATGATTATATATATAAAAATCTTTCTTCTGATTATGTATTGAAAGAGCACCAAATTATCACAGAATCTATTTTAGGGTTTTATACTGCTGCCCATCATGGTAGTATTTGAGATACTGTATCTAGCAGTTGAACACAGTAAAATGGCGTAAGATTTCAAACAAGTTAGAAGCTCTTCTGATTGAGTTCTTTAGTGAATAGGCATACAGTGGTTGTATATATATAACCATGTGTAATGCACTGCATCACTTTCCAACGTATTTCTTTTAAAAATATGGCAAATTGAATTGAGATTAGTCTTGAAGATTTGAAAAAAAATCAAACATTTACTGCGTTAGTAGGTATTTTATTTATATAAATCTTTTTATTAGTGAATTATAACTAGTTGGTGCTATAGTACAGTGTTTTGAAGTTTAAAGTATGCATACAAATAATGGACTAGGAAAGTTAAGATTTTACAATTTAGATGATTTTTCTTCCTGTTCATTTTTAGTAATTTGGTGAAAGGACTTTGCGCTCTAAAACAACAAGTTTGTAGATGTATTGCTTAAAAAATGAATTGAAATGATTTACTAAAAAGAGGAAAAATCCACTGTTCATCAATTGGAATCTTAAACTATAACAACATAAAACTGCATATATATTTTAAACAAAGTTTATCTAAAATTATGGCCCCCTTTTTACCTTCCAAAAGCTGAATTCAGGATTTACATTTCAGCTATGGTATCAGCCATTTGCTAGGGAAGCAGAGTACCAAACTAATCAGTTCATAAATGAAAAGACTGTATAATATGCTTTTAAAATATATTTTGTAAATTAAAAGCCATGTTAAAGGGACACAAGATAATTTAGTCCTGGCCCCCACCCCACAATTACCCCCAACTTCTTATATCATCACTGATTACATCAGAAAAAAAAATCCAGTTAATCATTAATACTTTGAACAATGAAACCAGACTGGTCAGTTTGATTTGCATATAATTACTTTCAAAATTCCTTAAACATTCTCTTTTGCAACAATAAAATATTGTAATAGCATGGAAGCAATAAAGACACTATCCATCGAAGTTTTAACACTACATTTTGGGCCTAAACTACTTGAATATTAAATTAAAATGACAAGTTAACTGAAGTTTACATTTTTGTTTAACAAAGTTAAACAAAATTTAACATCCATGTCTTGTTACTGCTGCACAAAAGTGTTGAGTGTGGTCATCGTTCATAGTATCTGACAGAGATATTAATTTGGTACTTTTGGAAGGAGATATTTAGATTTACAAATGAATGTAGTTTCCAAATAGCATTTCAATGAATTATTGCAGTCCATACAGGAATTACCTTGCCAGCCATTATCAAAATAATTGCACTAACCATTTTACAAGGCAAGTGAAAAGAAAAAACTGCTCTGCACCCACAGCATTTTAATTATTTAGGCTCAAGTTTTAAAAGAGGCCTAAGGAAGCACTGAAATTCAATGGCAGTTGGCTGCCAGACTTCGTTAGGCGTATTTGAAAATCTTAGCATAAGCAGTACAAACTCCTGTTAGCTTTTTCCCCTATAATTTCTGGACACCGAGATTACACCCAATACATTGACAAAGGACCATTTATTTTTTTCTAGTGGTTAAAGAACCAGACAGTCATGGGCAAGCATTATTTCCAGCTCTGCCAAAGATTTGGTGTGCGATCCTGGGCTATTCACATCCTCATTTTACTTCAGTTACATCCATTTTACAGACAGGAGGAAATACCTCTCTAATAGCGTTATTGCTGAGAGTCAAAGTTTGCAAACTACTTAAACACACTCTGATGGAAACTGTTACAGGAATGTAAAAATATTTTTCACCGCCATACCATGTCAAAATGCTACTTTCACATAACAAAAGGTCCAGTATAAGGGCCATAATCTGTATTTGTTTTAAGTGTTTTAGTCTGAGAAGCTAACTTCTTAGTCTGAGCTACCTATGGAAAAGCCCTACATACACTGATGATATAACCAATCAGGAATGCTGATAATATGCTCTGTCCAAACCTAACTCAGACTGATTTTTTTGGGAAGGGGTCGGCATTAAAGGAAAACATCCTAGTTGGCTAAAACAAATCAGATTTATTTTGCTCATTTACAGTCCTCCTAATCGGCTTCCTAATTTTCCTCCTGTACCAAGTACAGAGAAGAGTTTCTCTTGTAGGCCACTAGGCCAACAGTGTATTTAGCTCTACTAGTAAGACACTGTGGTGAGGCAGAAGGTTTTGGGAATTGTTTTTTCCTTGTGTAACACACACATACCAAACAAAAACAAAAACCTTTTAAGTGTTCTTACTTTACAAGAAAGCATCTCATCTTTAGTATCCTTTATTTTCAGTGCATTTGGACAAATCTGATTGGAATTGTGCAAGGCTCTCCTGTGAAATTATGGGTCTTCATGACAAAACTGCTCAGCATTGTAAAGTCAAGGAGAGGGTCTAAAAAGTCTTGAAGTTCAGATCAAGAATTAAACAGTTTCACTATTTTTTCATAATTGCAAAACTGAAGTTCTCCAACAGCTTTTCTAACAAAATATATTTCAGAAAAAAAAAATCTGTTCACCTCTCTGAAAAGCCATTTAGTACTAATATTTGTGAATTAACAGCAAATGGCTGTCACAAACAGGCTAACTATAAGGATTGCAGAGAGAATCCCTTTTGCTTTCATTTACCGCATATGTTGTTCTTGCTTGTAAAGTCAAACCAAGTTTGTTATGTAAACATGAAAGCTTAGGATCCCAGAATCTTGAATGTCAATAAGATCCAGGTAATGAAGGGAAATTCTAAACTTGTTGAAATGGGTAAAAAGTTTAAAAAACAAATTCTAAGATGATACTTTCTAATTTTTTTTTAAATAAATTACTGTGCAGACTTCTGGAAGTTTTATTACTTCTCAGCTCTTACTCCATAAATGAAATCATACATGCTTGAAAATCTGACAGATAGACAAGATGGGTGATCAGCTCCAACTGGTAAAGCTTATTTCTAGCTCCTAGTTCTACCATTCAGTTTTTAGTAAAAAAAATTGTGAAGTGTAGCTCTTATCAATGCTCACAGAAGCATATTCTTGTGACAATTTCACTAGAAAATAGCTTTTCAAGTTTTCATATGTAGTACAGTCTGACAAAGGAGAAGAGCCCAAATCTTTCATCTGTACATATCTGTCTTAGATATAGATTTGTTTCAGTATTGCAGTCCAAGGAGCAAGAAAGTAAATACTAACGGAGTAGATTATATTTTTAATTCGCAGATCACACAGTGCCTGTTTTTTCAGGTACTGATGAAGACCAAACATCAAGTCTAGCTATTCTAAGATCAACTATATCTGAAACCATGTTAGAAGAATCGTGCGACAGGGGTTCATCTCCCCAACATAAGCTAGGAAGCCTAGATAGAAATTGAAGTAGAACAATGATACCCAAGAGAAGTA